GGTGCTGGAGGTTGGCAGACACCAACCAGATATAGTTGGGCTCATGCCAAGAGGCTCTGGAACCAGTTTCTGGAGAGTGGACTCCACCCTGGAGTTTCCCAATGGGAGGCAGTGGTGCAAATGTATCCCCCTGGCTCGCTGCCTGTGCGTTGGAGTTTTCCTCAGGCCCCAGGTCCTGACTATCGTTTGTACCTAAGTGCCAAATGACAGTTCAGAATCCCTGGATGAGGTGCTGGACAGTGCTCCACACAGAGACTCTATTGGGGACTTCAAAGCTCTCACGCTGATGCTGTTAAACAACTGCACGCTGGCATGACCCCTGGGGCGGGTGAGATTCCCCCTCTGTTCCTGAAGATTCTGGATGATGTAGGGCTGTCAGGACTGACACGTCTTTGGGTGGGTTTGGGGGTTTGGGTGCCTCTGGATTTGAAAACTAGGTTTTTGACTCCCCTGTGTAAGTAGGTAAATGATAAATGGCCTGTATTTATATAGCCCTTTACACATCCAGTCATCCACCCATTCACACACTGGTGATGGCAGCTACATTGTAGCCACAGCCACCCTGGGGCGCACTGACAGAGGCGAGGCTGCCGGACACTGGCGCCACCGGGCCCTCTGACCACCACCAGTAGGCAACGGGTGAAGTGTCTTGCCCAAGGACACAATGACTGAGACTGTCCAAGCCAGGACTCGAACTGGCTACCTTCCGATTACATAAGTAGGAGGACCAGTGGGGGTGCTCCAACTATGGAGGATCACACTCCTCAGCCTCCCAGGGAAAGTCTATCACAGGGTACTCGAGAGAAGAGTCCATCCATTAGTCAGACCTTGGATTCAGAAGAAATAAAGCCACTTTTGCCCTGGTCGTGGAACACTAAACCAGCTCTTTATGTTCTTGAAGATATTGAAGGGGTTGTGAGCATTTGGCCAACCAATGTACTAATGTAATTTCGGGACTTGGAGACAACATTCAACCAAGTCCCTCAGAGTATCCTGTGGAGGGAGTTTCATGAGTTGGGGCTGTTTGGCCAGTTGTTATGGGCCATTCAAGCTCTACAACTGTAGCAGGTAAGTCAAACACCTTTCTGGTGGCTGGCCTTTGCCACAGATTCTCTTCATGGATCGGATATCTAGGGGTAGCCAAGTCGGGGAGGGTCTCCTCTTTGGTGAGGATGTGGTTCTGTTGGCTGTGAAACGTGAGAATGAGAATTAGCACTTTGACCACGGGTGTTGAACTCCAGTCCTTGAGGACTCCTGAAACATTTAAATGTGTCCCTGCTGCAACACACCTGAATAAAATTAGTAGGTCATTAGTAAGAACTGACTGCATGCTGAGGTGTCAACCCCTAACCTCAAATAACTTTAAATAAATCTAAGTTTGTGAAAAAATCCTATTCTAAAAGTACTTTTATTGCAACATGTTCATTCAGTCATGAGCTGCTGTAACATGAATCAAATGGCTGAATTGCCACCTCAGCATGGAGTCAAGTTCTATAGAGTCTTGCTAATGACCTACTAATACGGGTGTGTTACAGTCGGACACATGGAAAAGTTTAAAGACACCGGCCCTCGAGGACTGGAGTTCGACACCTATGTCCTAGACTGTGGTTCTCAGCTGGAAAAGGGTGGAGTGCCGCATGTGACGGATACAGCCAGCATATGTGAATTTTCTTCAAAGAGTGGCTGGCCTCGCCCGGGTGCACTGTTCCTAACTCGTCAAAAGGAGCCAGCTGAGGTGGTTCGGGAATCTGACTAGGATGCCTGCTGAAGTATTCTGGGGATCTCGTACTGGTGAGGAGGTTCAAGGCCAGGACTTGCTAGAGAGATTACATTTCTTGGTTGGCTTGGGTACATCTCTGTGTCCCCAACAGGTGGCTGGGGTGAGGGAAGCCTGGGCTTCTCTGCTCTGACTGCTGTCCTAACTACCTGAACCTGGATACGCAGCACAAAATGGATGGCTGACTGGATGGACGGAAATATTCATCCATCCATTCAGTTCTGATTGACTGATTGATTGTTTGTTTTGGGGGGTTTTTTCAAGTCAGGTATTGGATCAATGCATATATTGCTATTTTGTAAAGCATCTTGCAAAGCAAACTAAAGTATAAAATTTTGGGTTATTTAAAAGTTACATAAAAATACCAAGCAGTTAAATACAGCTTAATGCAGGCTCAACTGGTTAGTCTGGTGCAGAGCAGACTGATGCTTGTGTCACTTTACGGTTACATCAAGGATGGCAGACATCAATAAGTTTAAGATGATTCGATTTACTCACTTAATTGCACCTTTCATGCTGGTTTTATATGATAGCTCATATTGCATTTACTTATATCTGGTGGAATTCATTTAGATACAAAAATCCACAAAGAGCAAAAAATCCAAGAGAAGCAGCAGAAAAAAATCAGCTAATCACAGCCTAAACACAAAGAAGACTCAACTGGAACGCACAATACAAATTATTGTGTGACTTATGGAAAGTGACAAAATCCCTTCATATCACTATATCCATTGCACCGTTTACACATGACCTTAAAGGTCCTCCACAGTCCATATCTATAACCCCTGCCTCTTACCCAGGTAGTAAAGATAGTAGTTAAAAAAGCTTACTCAGATAATAATCAATGCTAAAAGCGAATATTAAATAACACTTTTTCAAAAAGTAAATATCAGCAGTCTCATAAATGCCTCCTCAAGCCTACACAACTTTAGACACCTCTGCTGCAGGCAGGCAAGCACACAGGTCCTCTCACTAACAGCTGAAGTAGTCAACGTAGGTAATACTGAACAACACTTTAGGAGGTATTTTTGAGAGGTCAAGCTCCTGTTTCAACAAAACTAAAGCATTAAACAGTTGTAATTTAATATTGCTGGGACACACAGTAGTGTTTGCCGTTGTCGTATGGTTTGTGGCTCACCTGCAGAGGAGGGGTGGAGCAGTGGGATTAGGATTTCGTGTCATAGCCGGCAAGCACAACCTAACCCTGCCTTCTCTACTCGAGTACTGGGACCTGAAGCAGCTGAAAAGCTGTGCAAGTAGTGGAAACCCTCATGAAGAAACACACTTTTCTTGCAACGATGTGTGCTACTGGTCCTTTATGATTATAGCAGATTAACTATTAGTCATTTTCAACAGTCACTTTAGCTGTTTTTAATAATAATAAT